GCTGTGCGATTCAGCTGTTAAGACGTACTCCAGCTCGTAGGGTCCTACGAAGAGATGTGGGTGGAGAGCGCTGTCATCATCATCTGGTCGTGTGTGCGACGTCCGGCTCACCATGGTCAGGGCTAGTTGCTGCCGTACCACCTGCTGCTCCCAACTTCCACCGGAGACGATGTAGCAGTGTGGGACAACTCAATGGCTGCGACCGTTCCGACCGTAGAAGAGCAGAATGGTGAATACGGGTGCTTGAGCAGCTCGTGCTTGAGGGCCGTTGATGGGCAGTCACGGCCGAGCCAGGTATAGTGGGAACGCTTCCTTTTGTGTCTATGGTATCTTCTCTGAAGAGGTTTCTGGCGAGCTGCAGCTAAGAACCCTACAATTTAGAGTCGTGTTGCAGGCAATATATTGTCCTGTACGCAAAGTGAAAGAGCTGTTTAGGAGCACAGTAAGACCGAAAATTCACATGATTCGGCTCCTAACAAAAGCAAGACAACCGGAGCACTCTTGCGAGAAGTCCAGCAAGTAGGCTTGGTTGCAATTCCACGTCACCACATAAAAATGTTACTTGCAATAAGGCTTGACTCACGTGGAGCTTCAACGCGTCATCGCAAATACAAAATGTTACCTGAATGGACGCTAGCTACGGTTTGACTTAGGGCATGTACAAAACGTGATAACAGGTAATTGTGTCCGCTTAGAATGCCGAGGAACCAGGGCACTCGTAGAGAATGAAATCGATTGCGTTCGTTGCAATAGAAACCCTCGCCACCACCCCCTTTGTGACGACTCTTTCATTTAACAATGGCTGCATGAATAAAGTGACCAGACGTACCAATTCAGGTGGTACATGTCCCAGTTTTATGGTTGTTGTCCCACTGTAACCACAATGGGCTTGCAGGGCGGTGTTTTCCCCCGCTTTAAGCTGGGAGACAACTCGCAGTAGTAGTCAGTTAGCCGGGCCACCAAACCTCTTTGCTATGCAAAACTATACATAGCTATGGTCTGATTTATTTATCTTTCTAACTGTTTTCGTCCATTTTTATTATTTTTTCTTTATATACCTTTTTTGTTTCCTAGCCAACAGATACTTATGGTTCCCACATAGGCTTGCTCAGCTACCGCGCCTTGGTAGCCGAGTGGTTACGACGCTCATTTTGGGGCCGTAAGTACACGGGTTCAAATCCGCTTCCGCGGGAAATCCACTTCCGCGTGGCGGGAAATCGTATCAGACCGATTTCCCGCCACGCGGAAGCGGATCTGGTTTTCGCTTCACAGCGTTGGCTGCACTCACGACCATGGCTGCGCTAGACCAAACCACGTGACCTAACCAGCCGTTCACATAATCAGCATGGCGGTGAAGGCGTCTGCGGTGACTGGCATCGGTCCAAATCGCAAACTGCCCGTGCAGCACGATGACGCTTGACGGCCTCAACGAGAAGGCGTTCATCGAGAGCCTGGTTTGAATGCTTCGGATTACGATCGCCAAAAACACTGGAATTAGGTGGTTCAGCCGCAACGAGTCGGCACGCCCCAACATGTCTCGCGTGCAGCCAGCTGAATCAGCCGGTGCCAGTGCGCTCGCTCGTGTCGTTCCTGCTGGCTTGCCTCCAGAAACAACGTTAGACAATGTGCGTGCTCTTTTCACTACTTTCCGTGAATAACTAGAATTCGGTAAGAACTGCAGTGCTGGGAAAGCATGCAAAATTGATTCAATTCTCAAGGTAGCGACGGCAGTGGCAGCTAGATACATAACGAATGGAAATATTTCTGGCGCATGTGATTACGGTTTTTCTGCCACTCTGGCGTTTTCGTTTTCACTTCACTTCTCAAGTGTGAGTGTGCCTTAAAGGAACCAAATACAGCGCACGACAAACATTTGCAACTTCGCTCGACCTTGATGGAATTCAAATATGTTTGCTGCGGTCGAATGGGAACACGATCGTCGAGTCGACCGTCACCACCGAACTGCCACCGTTACTGACGCAATTCTTTGGGTGACTTACAAAAGTGTAGGGCCCCTTTGAAAGAGATATTTTCTGTGTGACAAATATTTTTCCTTCCTTCACTCCGCAAACTTCGCACTTATATCATTTCCGGTCTTCGGTCAACGTCGCCCCACACCTCTAAATGACAAGACTGAAAGAACCAATGCGCATTCAGTGTGATGTTTTGTTTGCTGCCACGGTGGTAGGAGTTCTTCATATTTACATTGTCTCAGCATTCAATTTTGCAATATTTGGCTTGTCTCGCCATATTACACGTGATCCCGATATTGTTTTCTGTCATGACATAAATTAGCTCACTGACCTCTGGCCGCAGCGAGCTGCCAGCATTTCGAAAGTAGAAGAGCGTCTGTACGCCTTCAGTTTTTTTTAAATGGATGCTTTTTTTGCCATTGCCTCTTATTATGGGTTTGTCAACCTCAACTTTCACAGAATCCAGATCGTACGTTTTCTTGTTCATATGTTCATTTTTGCATTTTTTAGTACGTCCAGGAACCCTCTGGCTTCAGGGTGACACCGGGCATTGCTCGGGGCACTGTTTCGGAATAAACGTTTACTTCTCTCTCTCTCTCTCTCTCGAGTACGTATCAACCAGATTCTATATACTATATTTATATCAATATTAGTATCTGTTTCATGTCGAAGCATAATAAAACAATTTATTAAGCAGTTTTGTGCGCATAGACACGCATTTGAACTTAATTTTAGTCGGAACCTTGCCCGTTACAGTTATTAGATTTCCTTTATTCACAGCCGACAGAACATTGGGAGTGAATGTTTGTGACTACTTTTTTAAAACAGTCACAGTTCGTAATTACTTGTCGCTATTTTTTGTGTTATGAACGAACTGACATCAGTGTTATATTTCTTATCACAAAGAAACCCTCTGGCAAGAGGTCACTCACTCTGTATATGATCCTTGCAGGATGACTGTGGTGTTCCAGCTGGCTTCGCTGCGTGCCAGAAAGCCTCCTGACAAAGCATAACGTGAAAAATGAAAAAAAAATGGCTCAGTGAACGAACTGCAATAAAAGACTGCAACTCATGAGCTATAGCGATTCAACTATTATACAAAGTCCGTGCTTCCTGAATTTTTTTCTGTTCAAAATGTAGGAAGAATGAGGAATAGGTATCCCATTGTATTGTCGCAAAACAGCCATTCGGGCTAGTCGGTAGTGGTTCATTATTAAAGGTGGAAGTGGGACTATTGTATTGTTCTTCTCTTCTCCAGTTCCTGTTTCGTACTGCTCCACAGTTCTATCTTTCGTATGGTATCCAATTATTCCAAGATAAACTTATATTTTCTTTTCGTTTTGCCCTATTATGTCTTCCTCGTATGCAGGCAAGTGTCAGACTTTGGAGCCTGCATGAAAAAAATGGGAAGAACCCTGCTCAAAGTGGCAAAGCACGCACAATTTAGCCACATATGGTTCGTTCAATACAAACGTTCTAGACATTTTTCATAGATCGGAATAGTATTAAACATTTCCTCCCGTAATTTGTTATAAACAGTGAATAGCTACAATATTTTGGGGTAAGTTTGTTTTTGGCGAATGGGAGCCTTCGTAAACTAATGTGATATTGTCAGAGTGATGTTTCTGAGAAACTGTATTTTCAGAGCATCGTTTGTTATTTCGATGCCACATTTGGCTTACATATTAAAGAAAGGTTGACGAATGAGTTTTTCGAAACACAATAAGCAATTTTTCTGCCATAGGTTTCTCGAGAAAGTTTGCGATGTTTTTCAATTTTAAATATATGTTCATATTTTTGGTGGTACAAACATTTTCCACAGGAGCCACACAGATATTGCCCACCCTTTGTAAATTTTTGCTCAATCACAGCTTCGGTCGCGTGCCTCAAGATTTCATCAGTTTTCTTCGCACGTGCTCCTGTCAATTAGTGCACCCGTCATCTTTTCTCCTTGTGTCATATGTCTCTTACATATGACAAAACAGAAAGGTTCAATTTTGGTAATAATTTGGGAAGTGGGGGAAAGCAACTACAGTTAGAATGGTGTTTCATCGAAGAGCCACAAATACCTATGTTGCATTTTCATGCCCCCATAAGTTTCTGAGAAACGCCTACCAAGAAGACCAAATTATCATCAATAATGAACGTTCATTCACGCCCTAGGTAGAAATCACGCCCTCGTAGAATAGGAAATATTTCGGAGTAGTTCGGACAGCAGCGATCACGTATTGTCAGTACGAAATTGTCAGCCTTTCTCAGCTTGAGTGAAGCAGGAAGGTTTGTTTGTCTTGTACTTATTGTGTGCCCATTTTAACAACCACATTACCTTTAGCAAGACGAAAAGAATAGCCTGAATTCATTTTCGGTAAAAAATGTGCTAAGCATCCTGCGATAAAATGAAGAAGGCACCTGAACATCTGTGCTGGCCCTTGTGTCTTCTTCATGTTGTGTTGGTTTAATGTGCTCATTTAGATAGAAGAAGTGACCACACCACCTGTTCTTGTATGTGCTATAGCTAAGGCACTGACTCTTTTAGCATCATGTACTTGAGGAAAGGTCATTTATGCAGGGTGCCTGCACGGAGTATGCAGCGCCTGTTTAAATCTTAGCAATTTTGCGCAGAATGACGGAGACGAACAGAAGAAAAATAATTATGAGCTTAATGAAAAATTAATTTTTATTTTTGCAAAAACATTCGCCTAAAATGCCTCCAAACAGCACGACCTGGGGAAAATAACTCGTCAACAGACAAATGGTTTCCGATTTGGCCGACTCACAGTATTTCCTTTTCAGATTAAAAAAAAATCATTTTTGCTTCAAGGAATGCTGACGATTGTGTGTAGCTGAAAGCAATTCTTTGGGCCGAGAACGAACTTTCACTATGTTGTTGCCACTACGTAATACTCAGCATAATTTGCAGTTACAAACACTGGTACACGTCATGCTCTTTCATGCACAAAGACGCACGGAAAGCAATGCAGAGGTGGCTGCCATTTTCACTTTGCCATTATCAGGATATTCCGCCTTGAGCTCCAGTGGCTGCTGCGAAGTGAAATTTCCGCTGTTTGATACCACCTGGACAATGAACAGGCTCGTCAAGAGTGCACTGTACTGGCACTGAGTGGTACAAAGCATTCTTAAACTTTTACAGCGAAAGCTGCTATTAGATAACAACTCGGGTCATACGTAGCTGTTCGCCGCCGCCGCCACTGGTGTTCGTAACCACATCGCGCGAAATTAGAAAACGAAACCTAGTACCAAAGACAGAATGGGGCTCGAAACCAGGGTCTGCTAGGTGCCAGCCCAGTATTCTAATACCAAGCTATGCCGGTGCTTGTGACTTGTTGGCAAACTTGCCTTAGGCAGGCTTGATGTCGGGAAAGCAATCGCGTTAATCCGACTTATAAAGCGTTTAAAACAGCGGTAGAACAAGCAGTCGTCGCACAATGCGAATAGCGTAATGAGTGGGTCATCGAATGCGCCAACCCATTACAAAAGGTGGTTCTTGTTCCCCTATAAGCTGTGGCGCATACCTAGTACTTCAGCCAGAATTCCTCATCGTCGTCAGCCACTGCATGAACAATTGGCACGAAATTCCTTGCAAGTGTTTAGCGGATACCACGCTTCTCAGAAGAATGACGAAAAATAGCATAGCGAATGCCAGCCTACCACCCAAAAGTTTATTAATAATGCCCTAGTGGATATCAAACAACTGTGCTTAAGCAGGTAACCAATGAGTGCATCATAATCATCATCATCATCATCACCACCACCACCATCATCATCATCATCGACATCGTCGTCGTCGTCGTCATTGTCATCATCGAGTGTTTCGAAAAAGCTCTGAAAGGCCGCTCTTCTATAGCTTTCGCTGTGCCTGTGCTTGCGAAAGCGGAATGCTGAACCGTATCCTGCTTTTTAAGCAGTGTTTGGCTTGCTTCACCGATCCTGTAATCGACTCATCCGATTTTCATCGCCCGGAAAGCAATGGAATAAACCACCCTTATTTGACTGTGTTTTGGCACGTGCACATCTCGGGTCTTGGTAGCGTGATTGGCCCTATCTACTTCACTGAAGATAGTTAAGGCCTGTTCATCGCCTCTCCAGCTGATGTTTCATGTGCCTTCCTTTGTGATGACGACATCCTGACTTCTCCGATCGTCGACCTACCTGAATCAGTGACATCGTCGGCAGGGCATATAAGGACATCGTCGACACCTCCCTACTTCAGTAGGCGAGTTCACAGCAGTGCTAGCGGAATGCTGAACCGTTTTTTCCTTTTCACACAGTTATGTTACCTTCCGAATGCCAAGTGCATTCATTCAGATAATCGCTTCCTGCTGCTGTTGTATCGCCCACACAGTTTGCCTTGTACCTCTGCTATTCTGTCTTTTTGCTCTGGCGTTATAGTCTGCGTTAGCAAGCTTTTGTCCGGCGATGTAGAGTTGAATCCGGGGCCTCCTAAGTTAAACAAGGACTAACACTTGTTTACATGGTTCATACATTGCCGATGAGACGGGTGATTCTGATTCTGCGAATGCTGACTTGAATTCAGCGACTCAAATGCTTACTGAGTCAATTCATTATTAAGAACGTATATCGCAAGATATAGGTGATATCAAGAAATTTCATGAAATTACCAATTCTACGTTTGATGCTTTAAATACTTGTGTCTCCGCATTACAATCACTTCCCGTCACGCGTTCACCCCAGCTGCCATTAATAGTGTGAACAGCGATATTCAGCACCTACAGCTCAAGATCAATCAACTCGCTATACGTAATGGTGATCTTGAAAACTGGTCTAGCCGTAATAACTTGCTGCTCCATGGTCTCGCCGAGACTCAGGATGAAACCACCGACCTTCTTTTGTCTAACCTTACTGAATGGTTCAAAGGAAATCTACAAATTGATTGCCCGAATATTGAAAGGTGTCACAGATCGGGACGTCGGCAGGCCTATCGACTGCGTCTCATATTCATGAAGCTGCTCGATTATCGCGAGAAAACAATTGTCCTTAAATACTGCAATAAACTAAAAGGGTACAACTTTCGCATTTCCGAAGAATATTCATCGCGCTTAACAACTATCAGAAAGAAGCTGTGGGAAGCATCAAAGTCCTTTCGGGATAATGGCCTCATTGTATGCTTGAGCTTTGATCATGCGTTTATAGATCAAGTTCGGTACAACAGGGACAACAACACTAATACCCTCGTTAGGACTCATTCTCGCCCAGCAAAAGCCGCTTCTAAATTCGCCACTAATGCTTCTTGACGCATCTGGAATGATCCTAACGAACACCCGCGCATCTTAAAGGTTAACGCCAGAAGCCTAGTCAATAAGTTTTCGAATTTTCTTCCGCTTATGACGGTCCAGTCACCACACATAGCTGACGTAACGGAACCTTAATTGAATGAACATATACATAATAGCGAAATAACGCCTCCTGGTTTCACAGTCATCAGAACTTACTAAAAACATGACAGGGGAGGGGTTGTTGCAGTATTTCTACGGTCTGATCTTAAATTTTCCGTTATCTCCAGTCCACCTGATACCGAATCTTTTTGGCGCAAGATCTTTTTTGGAAGTATTTTCATAGTCTTTGGCGTGGTTTACCGCTCACCATCATTGAACATAGATCAGCTGCTCACTTTAACAACCTTCGTGCACGAGCGCTTTTCTAACTTGATATGCCTGGGTGATTTTTATACTATCGGTACGGCCATCACTTTCACTCACAGGCTATGCCATGGAAATCAACAAAGTTTTGTTAGAATTTTCACTATAATTTGGATTGAAGCGCATTGTTCAAACTAACACATGAGGAAATGCAGTTTAAGATTAAGTTTTCGTTGGTCTTTTCCTCTTAGACAACGTTTATGAATGCCAAGTTTCTGGCGGAATCTCGGACCACAAGGCCGTTCTAGTGTCTATTTCGGTTCCTGTGCGTAGGAATCATTTTGTCTATTCTATATTCCCCGATTTTTCAGGAGCAGACAATGCATCCGTTCTTGATCTTTTATCCAGTTCTTTTGATGATATCGAACTCCTCAACGAATGCGAAAATTTTAATTCGTTTGTGGCTTTTTTCAAAATAACTGTGGCAACTTTTATTGAGCGTTTTGTCCCCAAAAAGACTAAAACAACAACCCAGCTTCTATGGATATCGCGTGACATACCTCACCTGTCGTGTCGTGTTGCGAGACTGAGGCGTCTGAAAAGAAACGGCGATCCCCTTAAAATACAGGAATTTAATCTTGCCAAAGAAGAACTTCGAATCAAAATTAACTCTTCTAAAGACTTTTATTTCTAATTTACGTTGCAAAATTTAATAAAAAGCAACCCTAAAACAATTCTGGGCTTCTTTTATTTTACTCATCTCAGCTGCCACAAATACAGTTGTTTTAAATAACGCCTCCTCTAGTGACCCTCCAACTATTTCCAAAGCGTTCAATGAATACTTTCAGTCGCTATTCACAACAGAGAACTCTTATATCTCTAGTTTTTATCATGGCTCAGATAACTCAGTGATATTTTTGTGACCCTCGACGGTGGTGTGAAATCAATTTTATATTTAGGAAATAAGAAATCTCTTGGTCCTAGTTACGTTCCGTTTGGTTCTTTCCACTCGCATCTCGCTTGTTGAGCGACATTTGCTGCCGCTAAGGAAGCCGAAGACGAGAACTTTTCATCTGCTGGCACCTTGAGGAAATGACCGCTCCGACATCATCTGGATATAGAGACGTTTATTCGTTTCTCTCCTTTTTCACTGTCCCTGCACCCCTGGTTTTATCCCCTGTCTCCCCATTCAACCACTCTTACAGTCCAATCGTAACGCACCACTCTTATAGTCCAATCAAAACGCACAGATGTGTCTCTCCTCGCCACAACCTCGAAGATTCACCGCCTCTTGCCCACTCATCGGTTCTCCGCCGTCGCTCGGGTTTCTTTCACACCGGTTCCCGGAATGGTCGACGACGGGTGTTGCCAGGTCGTGGAAAAGCGCCTCCGAGAAAGTTCCCGCGATGCCGGGTTGACAGGCCATCAATACAATTGGCCCCTGCGCCAATGCCGTCGCCTCCGCTGATTCTCATTGTCCGGCGGACGCGTACGTGTACCTTCCACGTGTACCTTCCACGTGTGCCGGCCACGTGTACCGGCCACCTGCAGCCTGGCTTGGTCTTCTGTAAGGCGCCATAATTGAGCCCGACAGCGGCACGGGAGTTGTCGCGTCCTTTGTGGCCAGCAGACAGTCATCGTCCCGCATTCCGGTGGCCCTGCTTCCTTGTTGGCGAGGGGTCGCCGGCCGCTGGGTGGGTAACATAAGGTATTCGGGGAACGCACGAAGTTCGAGCCCAACACCTCCCCTCCAACTGTGTTGCACTGTATCTATGACATGCGACACAAACACAACCACATATGCACACATGTTCACTGGCTCGACACGTGAGGCACCAACTGTCACTCGTACCTCGTTGACTCCGTCGCGCGCACGCGCTAACAAAGCATACACCCCCCTTAACTCGCCGTTCCTTTTCTGCGTCATCGTTAGGAGTCACTAACCGCGACATTGCGTCGGCATTAACGTTTAGACACCCCTTTTTGTGTTCAATTTCCCGGTTATACTTCTGTAGTGCCAACGCCCAGCGTGTCAGCCTAGCGCTCTGCGGAGTGGTTAGAGTTAGAAATTTGAGTGGGTTATGATCGGTAATCACCTTGATTTTAGCGCCAAACAGCCAAACATCCAACTTCCCCAGTGCCCAAATGATTGCATAAGCTTCCTTATCTATTGTGGCCCCTCGGGTCTGAGCCGGGCTAAGCTTCTTGCTCAGAAAAGCGATAGGGCGCTCCTTCCCCACCAGATCCTGCTGTGCCAGGCACGCACCAACGGCGTAATCGGATGCATCTGTGGCGAGGATAAATTCTTTCCCCGGGTCTGGTACCTGCAACGCCGACGCCTGCACTAGACAGTTTTTCACCTTGTCAAAAGCTTCCTGCGCCTCTGTATTCCAAGGTAATTTCTGCGGAATACGTCGGCCAGTTAGGTTAGTCAGAGGCATAACGACTTTGGAGTAC